CTAGCACTTCATTGGTGATCAATGATGGCCCACCATCCAAATAATATCTGGCTAGTGGCGGTCCAATGGGGGTCCTCTACCTTTGATGAACATGATAGCAGTAAATGGTGTCAGTCGCCATTTTAGCTCAAAAAACTACCGTGGTAAACCTAAATCCGTGTGACAATCCTCAATCATCAAATAACCAAAAGTGTCATTTGTTAAATTTAGCAGAAAACATTTGAACATCATGTGAACTGTAATGCTAGAAGACTGAATTCTGTGTGCCTGAATATTGTGTGCATGTTTTCACATTCATTGTACATAAAGATATTAAAGTTTATGGTTGGGTTATGGGAACACTGTATTTGTTGCTTGTAATGTATTTTCATGTTTGTTTCATGTTTGTGTGATGGTTTATTTGTGTACATTGGCCCATCTGTAAGGGAGGGAGAATTGCTCCAAAAGTATAAAAGGAAGAAATCAACAGGTGCAATCAATGACCTGACGAAACCAATGGGTCGAAACAGTCAACCTTTTGTGAGTTTGCCAAACGCTCTTTTCACTAAACACTGGATATACATCGTCGAAGGTTGTGCTCTATGAGTGGAGATCTTTGGCCTCTTTTCCACTGCAGGGCCGAACGGTTCTGAGCACGGAGGGTAACCGTTACAGTGGCGTTTCCACGCGGACACGGTTCAATGCGTAACGCTTAAAACCGCTCAGGCCGTTTTTTTTTTGCATGGTTAGCTAACCGTACTCAGGGCCACAGAACCGCTCGGTGGGATGATGTAATAACGTAGCTGTTCGCTGATTTTTTCCATCTTTATATAGGTATTGTGCCACAGCATCCTGCCGCGCTATTTCCAACCCAGAAGCATTCAAATAAATTCAGTTTGCTCAAATTAATGAAAGCAGCGCACAATTTTGAATCTAACATTCAATAAACTTTAAAGCTTCAATCCAAAACCAATTTCTAAATGTTAAACGGCGCTGTCTAACCAGCTAGGAGAGAGTAGCTGGTTAGCGCTAACTTAGCTAGCATGCTGTCAGCGCTGGTCACCACAGAACAGATTTGATTCCGACTAAAAAAACTTTACTGACACAAATTTGGATGATAATGACTCAAATCTGAGGAAGCGAAGCCGAGTGGCTGATGTTAGAAGAACAGAAAGCTGAAATGAACCTCTTCTCTGGTGTCGGAAGCTGGAGACTCCTAGCTAAGCTAATGCTAGCCGGCACGTCTCTCCTAGCTAACTTAGCTTAAGAGATCCAAACACCACTATGCAGGTTCGATTCGAGTAACTGCTCTGTTGTCACAAGTACAGATGATAAAAACGAGAGTAAAGTTGACCGATAGGTGTTGGAGTGACAGAAAGCCGAAATCAGACCTGTTCTGTTAGTGCTTTAAGCTGTAGCCTGCTAGGCTAAGCTATCGCAAGTGCCTCCCACTGCAGTACAGGCTCAGTTCTAGCAAACTGATAACCTCTCATACATCTTCAGATAAGACAGAACTATTCATCATGGTCAAACTCGGAGGTAAACAGCTGTCGAGTAGTCTGTGAGCCATCTTTACCACAACCTAAGTGTATTATTTGAACCTCTAGCTGTTCCTAAGGATCTTTGCCTATGACTCACTGCCCCTGCAGCCCTGTTCAAGTACAGCAATTCCTCTTCTAGTCAAACTTCAACTCTCTTCCTGCAGGCACTTTGAATCTGAAACTATCAGATATACTGGAGCTCTCCCTTTGCCCTGTGCTGGAGGAGGGGGTGGCAGTGGTGGGAACAGTGCTGTATCAAAGCTCCATGTGGCAAAGATGCAGGCAGCAGAGGCAGCCTGAGCCACTTGAGCTGAACCGGACAGGGAGAGATTAGCCACCGGCCTCGTCATGCTCCATGACTCGGGGGTCTTGAGGCTGCCGTAGCCCTCAGGGATTAAAAGGGGGGATTAAAACATCAGCAGTGAGCAGGTATAAGAGCAACACTGCCAGCTAAGTCTCTGAATGCGGCACACCATAAATACAATTACCAACAAGTGGACTGGCTGGCTGGAAAATACTGTACCTAAGCCAGTGCAGAAATTTCAAGTCCACAGGACTTAACAGTCTGCAGAGTTAAATTAAATTAAAAGATTTAATTTATTCTGTTGTTGTCCGTCTGTTGCAAATGTCTAATGGTAAAAAATAATAATTTTGGCAGACGCCAAGTACATATTCCATACACAAAGACTCTAAATCTCTAAGAAATGAGATGTAGACTCAAAAAAAAAAACTATCATTTTAAAATCTCAAAAAAGGTTATATTTTAGATTAAAATTCTGAAATTATAAATAATAAATTATAAATTATATTTTAGATTGAAAAATATAGGTTAGATTGCAATTATGCAATCAAAGTACTAAAATAAAATAAGCACCATATTTCTACAGTAGAACGTTCAGGAGCAGTATCTAAAAACAATTAGCCTAATATTTTCAGGATTTTGTATTAGCTCTGCATTAGGCACAGCTTCCTGGCATGTAGCACAAAAGATGCATGCTACTGGATGCTGATGTTCCAACACATTTAATTTGTCAGAGAAATGTATTTTAAATTTCTGCAAAATTAAATAGTTAAGATGTAAAGATGAAGTCATTTAGAGTGGTTTGATGTGAAATGTTCCTTTCGAGAAAAACTTACCAATCAGAAATGTTCACAGCAGTGGTGATAGGAACCAGAAGTCATTGACATTGTTTTACATTAGATCTAATCTTTGTCTGACTTTGACTTTGTTTACATCCCAAATGATTAAATGTAAAAAATTATAAAAAAAAAAAAAAAATTTTAGTAACTTTGAAAAATCAGTGGAATTCCCCTTTAACTGTTTAAAGCATCAGCCTAGCCTTAAAAGGCGATAAAAGCCACATACTATCTCTACCTTCTCTTTCACATCTTTAACAATGAGTCCTTGGCAACACACCCAGATTAAGACACATGCATTTCAGAGTATAACACAGCATCTACTCGCAAGTAAGAGCAAAACAGAACTATAAAATACAAAAGTTAAACCTTAAAATTACCGTTTCACTTAATTGATATTAATTTTCTCTTTCTGTGATAAAATGCAATGAATGCACAAATAGTGAATTCAGTACTGGAATACTGGCACGTTGAATGGTTAACTGAGTACTCAAGTGCCTGTGCACATCCCTAAAAGTCATGCAGGCTAATGGACAGACATCTATGTGTATAAATCGCCTATATCTGTCATTACAATATGAAAGCACATTGCCTTGTTGATTTGGTTTTCCATGTATGCTACTACCTGATTCTCCACAGTCAGCAAAGTGCTTGAAAGATTAGCAGACGCCAGATTAGCATGAATGACTACATCACTTCCCTTGCACACTGACTAGCACACTGTATGCTGGGATTAGATTAGCACCACCAACAGGTCTGCTTGCACAGACAAAAGTTACAAAGCAGTGCAGCCTGAATTACTGCCAGCATGGCTTCAAGATTGCGTACTATTTTTTGGCTTTGTGAGTCCTTTTGCCTGTCAGTGTAAATAAGAGACAGCAGGGTTGCAAACAATAGCAACCCCTCAAAGCCATCTTTGTATCTTTGTACATTGGGACATGAATTATTAAGAACAGATTAATTACTGACTTGCTAATTAAGTACCTATTGTGATAGTGACATTGGCACAAGAGAGTGAAATATAATCAGTTCAAGAATAAGATCATAGGTAAAAATGACTTCTCTCTAAACATAATTGGTGTATGAAAGTGTTTTAATGGTATCCAATGTCTTCCATGTCATAAACTTTAGAAGAAAGTACAAGAGTATTCTGGGGACAGAGGTAAGCAGAAAAAGAGAGAGATAAAAGACTCAGAGGTGCGCTGAAGTAAATGTGGAGCAACGAGAGAGCCACAAACAATCAGCATTATTAACAGATATCACTTCTGCCTAGAGCAAAGGAACCTGTTAAATGAACCTGTTAAAGAACCTTTGTGCCCCTCACAGGGAAAATGAATTTCAACAGCAGTTTAATCTCCAGCAGTTTTCCAACTGGCTACAGACACAGACAGGTGAGAGAAAGCTGACACTGCACAGTCAATGTTCCCGGAGGGACCAAGTCAAGAGGTAAACCTCAGAGAATAATCCATATTCAGTGCCTTTCTTGCTGCCATTTTTGTAGAAATAGAAATTGTATCTCAAATCTTCCTTCTTGGTTTGATGCAAACTCCAAGAAGCATTTATTTCCTAATTTATTTTCATTCTATGTGTATTGAGAAGCTAGGGCACCTCATGTCCACAGAAACAAGAGTTGATATGAAAACAATAAAACAAACTCAGCTCTGACCCTAACTTCAATTACATACTGTGTCTGTTTCAAAGACCAAAGCTTAGAGTATTAGGTACACATACTTTGCAAATAATATCAGTGGCAATTTTAGTGGTAATCATATGGTAGTCCCTTTCCATTCCTATGACAGAAAACTGTTTTTCTTTTTTTGCTCCTTAACATTTCTTACTTAACTTTCTCAAACCATACAAGAGCCAGAACACTAGAACCACAGACGTTTTTCAGAGAAGACAGAAGTATTTCATCATGGTCAAATATGGATGTCTAGTCTTCTTGTGTCAAACAATCAAAACATGCAAGACAAACGTTTATTACTTTGCCTCTTCAGTTGGCATTTTGTAAAGGCAAAAAAAAAATTCTTAGCAATGATCTTCAACTTGCTATATGTCTGATTCTGAATGCTGACAAGCAGCCAAGATCATGTGGCTCCCATTCAGGAAATTCTTTTGTTGTTACCTCTGTAGTCAGTGCAACACATTTCTACACCTAATCTACTGTGAAGCTCTTTAAGCAAAAATGTTTTTGCAACTAATCATATTACTCAATTTGTCTTAATAAGTGATATGATATTAATAAGATATTGTGCTTTACAGACAACAGAACTCAACGAAATTGCAAAATTTTAGAAGTCAACTTCACGGCAAACACAGTAAGCTTACAGTAAAACTACTTACTTTATGTTAGCCTCACTCCTGTTGGCAGCAGCATGGAACTGTTCAACAGATGTTTTGAAGTGATCTAGGTTCTAAAACACACACACACACACACACACACACACACACACACAAAACAAAAAATGAATACAGAAATGATTAACAAACAGTATGAAAAGAAGCAAGAAGTTTTTAGATGCCCTAGTTCTCTACTCCCCACAACAAGTGTTGCTTTGAGAGTACTACTTAAAGTAGGGCATTACGACTGCACACAGCAAGAACACAAGGCAGTTTTTCTGCCTTTTTTTCCCGCTACTAGCCAAATCTTTCCAATAGAGAATCAACACTCCAAAAATATGCCCAAAAACATTTAAACTGAAACTGAAAAGCGATCCAGTTCAGCAAGGATGCTAAGAAAAATTACATCAGTAAAGGTTTATGCAAAACACACATTTTAATAGATCTCCTTCATAAATTCTTCAGTCAAAGGCATTTGTAAATTAAGCTGTATTGATTTGAAATTTGAATATTTGTTCTTTTAGAGATGGGACTAATTTTAATTTCCCACCAAAGTGTGCAGGTGGAGTTTTCACAGGCTCTTGAATGATCACACAGATGGATAAGGGCTGGGGACTGGCAGCAGGTTCACAATAAGATACATCTCACAATGTAGTGGTGGGCAATATGGCAAAAATATCATATCGCAATACTTACAAATATTTTCTATTTTCTATATGTATCATGATATTTTGACACAGACACAAATGCACTAGTGGTGCCACATTTAAAAACTGCCATTAAAAACTCTGGATGCAATTTTTATTCTGCATTTCACATTCTGCAGAACTAATTATGCTCTCTTTATAATGACATGTAGTTGGTCAGTGTTCTTTGAGTACGGAAAATATCAACAATCTGCTCAGAAAAGTATATTGTGTATTAGCCCTGGGGGATAGTGTAATCAGATACCATCAATAATGGACAAGAAACTTGATGGATAACTGCCATTTTGGGAAAAGAAGTGAGGGCTAGAGAGGACTAATTTACCTTTAATGACTTCATTTTCATATTTAAAAAGTGTGCCCCAACAGTCATTATTTCGTTTTGTTTGTTTGTTTGTTTGAGAGAAAGAGAGAGAGAGAAGGGGGATGCTAGCTTTACTGCACAGCAATCTTAAAGAAAGCAGAATCACTTGTTTACTGAGTTGCTCCACTGTCTGAAAGTTGGATAAATCTACATAAGAACAGTTTTTAAAAAGTTATTCTCTCATGCCTGTTTTTTTCAAAGACCTCTATTGTTAAAGCACAAGTTTTATATAATTCATGTTATACAGTCACATATTTCAAAGATTTATTCACAGAATTCACCCTCTGCCCAATAGCTTATACATTATATTATGAGTGAGGTTTGACTCAACAGGTTTTCTTTTTGAAGCACAGGAAAACAAAAATTGCTCTATATGTAATAAAAAAAAATTAATATCCATGGTAACTGACCACACGCTACAGTTATCCCTTTAATGATAATAATAATAATAACCATAATAATAATAAAAATAAAAATACATGGAAAATGCAAAGCAGACAAACAGTGGTAGCATTAATAGCACTACATGGAATCCTTTTCTGTTCATAGAGCACAAGCAGGGAGATTTGAGAATAAGTTATTTTTACATTTCACAATCTGATCTCTGCCATTACAGCCTGTTTCCTTCTTGTCCTTGCCATCTCTCTCATACTTTCTCCTTTGCACTAATCTGGGCCCAGCAGTACAGAAAGCATTCCATTTGACTCTTTACTCTGGATACCATTAAGAGAACTGCACTTTAAATGTTAATGGTTTTAATGAAGTTACGGCAGACCTCTGATATCTGGGAAACTGCTGGGATGGCTATTTGGGGGTGAGATGAAAAGAGGCATAAGCCTAAGATGTCTACAGTTCAGAAACACATTTATGCAAAAAACACATGAGAAGGAGTGCTATACCCTGAGATACTGGCACTGGTGAGCAGTGTGAACTGAGTGAATTATTGGAGTATATAAAAGTTTCTTTATTGAAATTTATTATTAGCCTTTGAGAGAATGATAACACAAAAATTAACAAGTACGTTCATATTCCACTAAGACAATAGTTCCATTAAACACTGTATACTGCTAGCTGTTGCTAGGTAACAGGTGAATAAGGTGCAGTGAAAGTTTGTGAGATATTAAAAAAGCAGTCATTAAATAATAATATGAGGAAATAATTGGCACATATAGATACTGGCCTCTCAGCCAATCATTTTGCAAGGTCAGAATTAACTGTGGTATAATCAGGCACAAAAAACCCTCTATGATCACCACTGTTTTGTGAATTCACTTCTACCGTCAGTGGTATAATTATTGGCACCCTTGTTAAAGATGGGGAAAAAACAGGTCAAGAATGTCTTTTTGGTTAAGTAGCCAATTCTCACACTGAAAATATGAGAGAAATCTAATGTTTAATTTACCTTAGTGTAAAAAAAGAAAAAAAATCTAAATTACGTGTCAGTTCTTTGCACCCCTAGAAATTTCACAAGTCCACCTTGCGTTTTTCAGGAACTCTTAAGCAGTCATCCATGACTTCTTGTTTCACTGGGCTCTAAGAGGTAACACAAGAGGCCTAATTTTTGAAAATGCTCATATCCACTGCAGTAATTCAGAAGTTTACAACTGCCAGAGCTGTAGAGAACTTGCCTGGAAAAAAGATGTATGTGTTTTTACCTCCAGGCACAGTGAGGAAGTTAAACATTTCTCAATCACCATGGTTGGAGATGTGCCAAGTTAGGAGTATCTTGGGGTCACCGAATCTTCAAAAACACAATTACACATGGGTGGGAAGTAATAAAATATATGTACTTCATTACTGTACTTAAGTAAGTTTTTAAAGTATCTGTGCTTTACTTTTTGTCACTTAATACATTTTACATTTACTCCAGACATTTCAAAAGAAAAATACATACTTTCTACTCTACATTTTCAAAACACACTTGTTACTAATATTATTTCTTTCTTTTAAATCAAGCAACTTCTATTCCGGCACCTTATTAAGCATCCAACTTGTTAGCAACCTGAAATCTTACTGGATGTAAAACCAGAATAGGAGCACATGAGAAAAAGATGAAAAGAGAAGAAGCAGATGCGATGGATAATTCAAGGAATTGAAAGAAAGCAATAGTGACGAATCAGCATGTCTTCCAGAAGATACAAATACGTCAGAAACTAATTCCCCTCCATGGTCTTATTTACAAGAACTATTTCACCTGGATGGTTCAAAAAGATCGTGGTATGTACAATGGGCACAATCACAATAATAACAATAACAACAACAACAATAATAATAATAATAATAATAATAATAATAATAATAAGTGTGAAGCTGTATGATGAGACTATAGATACTGGTCCTGAATCTCTTTATCCTTTCGTGACTGGATTGTTTCAGATGGTTTTCACCACTGGGTATTCATATAATATTGTAACACAAAATTAATCCTTAACACCCACAGATCTCCAACACCACCAGGCAGCTTATGGCTCTTCAGAAATGTTTCCTGTTTAACTGAAAACATAGAGCAAATGGTACCAGCTGAATGTAAAGACAGTAACATAAAAGTCTGGGTGAACATTTTTGGAGTTAAATAGGGCTCTGGGAGGTTTGCTAAGCCTTATTACACACCATACTTTATTTTCCATCTCATCTTCAAAACAATCAGTTTCAGACCTCATCATGTTTGCTATTCAAGCAGTGGACAATGGAAAAGTGTGGTTAAACTCAGCAAACAAGTGGCTCTAAATGTAAGCACACTGGGGACGGACAGAGGTTAGCAAAACGGAAACTCCTCACACGTTCCTGAATGCATCAGCTCCGACCAGCCGTTCTTGCTGAAACGCAGCATTAATGGATCTGCCAACTATAATCATCCAGCTGGCACCTGGTATGCCTTGGTTCTACTGTGGTTTAACACTCTCTTCCCCCACCGGTCATATTTCAAATACAGCTACCGTGGTCCTATCCAATCAATGACTCAATCCGAACTATGTACCACTATGTGCTTCACTCCAAAAAGGTCTTTGAGCTTCTTTGAGGGCCAGGGAGTGATGAGCCAAGCTGAAGTCAAAATCTAGGCACAGCAATATTTACTAGATGTCCATTTAAAATCTCTTCTCTACAAAGTAGAGCATGCATTCTGTAGCACATGCACTGCACCATCTACCAAAGACTCCTTCCAATCAAAGGTCAAATACTAAGTACTACAAACCAGTTAACACTCTTGCTTTTGCCTCTTTCTACTCAAGGCATGGTAAGAGACTGGCCATCATCAGTTATTACCTTTACTTATGGCTAGCAAATGGTAAGCGGCAGCATCTGCTGAGATAAGTGCTGAGACCTGCCTTTTAGGCCAAGATAGCAGTAATATACTTTTTAACTGCTTGTCTAAAAGTATATTACTGCTATTTTGGCCTTAAAGGCAGATCTCAGCACTTATCTCAGCAGATGCTGCCACTTACCATTTACTAGCCATAAGTAAAGGTAATCACTGTTTATCTATTAATTTGTGCAGTTCATATATATATATATATATATATATATATATATGACTGAACTGCACAAATTTGATTTTCTACACACACAATAGCAGTATTTATAATTTTACTGCTACAGCTTGGCTAACCTCCTTGCCATCTAGCACTGGCCTTGTAGACCAAGAGCAAGTGAGGTATTACAGCCCTGTAGGCCCTGACATGAGCATGCATTCGGCCTGCCACGCAGGAGAAATTAATAATCAACTTGGAAGAAAAAATACAATTAAAATGTGATTCGTTTCCCCCTAAAGCTTTGAAGTAAATAAAATTGTGATTTGCTGGAGTCGGCAAGCAAGCCCCAGGCCAGCAAGAGCTAAAGCTGCCACTGCTCCTCTCCTCTCAGTCCAGGTGAAGTCTTCCTGAGCTGGTTAGGAAATTTCCAGAAAGAAGGCCCCCACCGACATCGTGTCAGCTTTGCTGTCAGGATTTTAGGAGGATTATTATCTCGTACCCACGCTCAAGTGCTTCAAAGTGTTTTGCACCAGTGA